GCTGTAGAAGGGTCTCAGCCCCCAGTGAACTGAGCACTAAACAAGACATAAGGTCATTCTTTTACCAGCATTCCCTTTAAATAATGGAGAAGTTAAAGGCAGAGTTGACGTGGCCGTGGTGGTCAGTTACATTTCAGATTAGAGGAAACAGGAGAAGGTTCTAGATGCACCTAAGGATGGCTTCCGGATTGTCACCATGTCCTGGAAGACAGATGTGTTGCTGTGCCCTTTGGCTTATTTTCTTTTTCCCAGATATGCTCTTAAGTGCTAAGGCAGGTCAACCATCTAGTCACAAACCTTTCCTGTCGCTTTTTTTGTTTGTTTGTTTTTTGGTTTTTTTGACACAGGTTTTCTCTATGGCTTTGGAGGCTGTCCTGGAACTCACTCTGTAGACCAAGCTGGTCTCGAACTCCCAGAGATCTCCTTGCCTCTGACTCCTGAGTGCTGGGTTTAGAGGCGTGCGCCACCAATGCCCGGCTTAACTATTTTTTTAAGCATACAGTTCAGCAATGTTAAGAAGATTCACGTTGTTTGGCCACCATCACCCGATCCATCTTCAGCGCACCTGGCAGAATCCTCGTGGTTTTTGCAGAGTGTATTTACATGTGATAAAACATAGACCTCTTAAGTGCAGTGTTGATGGATGCTGGCAGCTTTGGACACCTGTGTTACAGCCACCAATCAAGAGGACAGTTCCTTGTACCCCTTCCTGAACCACCCCTGAAGCCCTGCCAGGAAGCTCTCTCTTTGCAGAAGTCTCTCCTGATTCTATTTCCCAGAATCTATTAGTGGTTTTCCAAGCATGGCCCAGGGCCACACTGATGCTTTAGAACTAGTATAGCGCTGTTGTCAGCCCGCTCTGTACGGTTGCCTCCGCTGCTTTGCTGTTTGCCTTATTTTCAATCGCTTAGCCATATTCAAGAGTATATAGGTGTTAAACCTTCCTATACCCTTTTAAAGTCTGGCAAGGATTTATTAGAAAGGGCATTAGTGGCCAGGCAGTGGTAGCGAACGCCTTTAAAACTAGCACTTAGGAGGCAGAGGCAGGGGGATCTCTGTGAGTTCGAGGCCAGCCTGGTCTATAGAGCAAGTTCAGAAACTTTGTCTCCAAAAAAAAAAAAAAAACCAAAAAAACAAAACAAAACCAGGGCCTGGAGAGATGGCTCAGAGGTTAAGAGCACCGGCTGCTCTTCCAGAGGTCCTGAGTTCAATTCCCAGCAACCACATGGTGGCTCACAACCATCCGTTATGAGATCTGGCGCCCTCTTCTGGTGTGCAGATAGACATGGAAGCAGAGTGTTGTATATATAATAAATAAATAAAATCTTAAAAAAAAAACAAATAAATAAGAAAGGTCATTAGTCACAGAGAATAGAAGCCATGAACAGATAATTATAGGTCCTGGGCCACCAACACAAGTTAGAGTCTAATAAGTCTAATTAACGCCAGGTGGTTCCCAGGGTAATCTTAGCTGTGTTTTCATCAGCCAGGCTACCCACAGCACAGAAATTACTCTTCATGCCCCCTCACTCCCAAGATTTCTTGGCTAGACAGTGGGAAAGAAGACCTTTCCGCAAGCAGTCACATGTCAGAAGGCTCCTGCCTTTCCAGCTGTCTTCATGGGACACTTGTGTGTGACAGACACCATCAAGTTGGGAACCCTGACAAGATGCTGAGCAGGGAGGAGGAGCAAGCAGAGACGTGTGTCTCTTCGGTGACCCTCCTGAGACCCTGCCAGCTTTCACTCTAGTTCCTTTTTCTGGAAAAATGAAAATACCCATTTTCTGTTCCTCTTCTTTTTCAGCATTGGAATCTGGGGACGGTACCCAAATACCCTCAAATGAACCACAGTGGGGGATAACGCGAAACCTTCCAAGCTCCGGTCTTGAGAGCTCCAGTTTCCAAGACGACTGCAAAGGCCAAGGCCTATTTGACAGACAAGCGGGAAATCCAGACGGAACTTCCAGGCCTGGGTTAAAGAGTCATGAAGAAATGCCCACTTTAAACCGGCAAGCGTCCCTTTCTTTTTACCAGACAAAGTCCTGTAGATCCAATAAACGCAAAAAAGGCTTGTGGCAAGAGGAATTGCATATTAATGGAGGAATTCCTACTAATGAGAAGCCCTACAAATGTAGGGAGTGTGGGAAGGCCTTTAAATATGGCTCTCGACTAGTCCAGCATGAGAATATTCACTCTGGCAGGAAGCCGTACGAGTGTAAAGAATGTGGAAAGGCCTTCAATTCCGCCTCAAATTTCATACAGCACCAGCGAGTTCACACAGGTGAGAGGCCTTACGAATGCAAAGACTGTGCTAAGGCCTTCAGTCGAAGCTCACAGCTGATTGAGCATCGGCGAATCCACACTGGGGAGAAACCCTATCAATGTACGGACTGCGGCAAGGCCTTCAACCGGATCTCCCATCTCAAAGTCCATCACAGAATCCACACCGGCGAGAAGCCCTATGTGTGTAAGCAGTGTGCGAAGGCCTTCAGCCACAGGGCTCAGTTGCTTCAGCATCAGACTGTCCACACGGGCAAGAAGCTCTTTGAGTGTAAAGACTGTGGGAAGACCTTCAATCAAGGCTCCACTCTTAGCCGACATCAGAGGATTCACAGCGGGGAGAAGCCCTACGAGTGCCAGGCCTGTGGCAAGACCTTCCGAGTGAACTCCCAGCTCAAGCAACACCAGAGAATTCACACGGGAGAGAGACCCTACCAGTGTAAGGTTTGCAGTAGGGCCTTCCAGCGGATCTCACATCTCACAGTGCATTCCAAGATCCATTCGGGCGAGAGGCCGCGTGCTTGTAAGGTGTGTGGAAAGGCCTTTAGCCATGGCTCACAACTCAGTCAACATCAGGTGAGCCATTCCAAGGAAAGGCCCTGTGAGTATAAAGGACGGGGGAGCAGCCTAAGTCACGATCAGAGACTGCGCAGTAGAGGAACCCGTGTGAACAAATAAACGCAGAAAAGCCGTCCCCCGGCACTTACCTACTGTTAATCACCAGGGAATTGGTGCTCGCAAGAAACCGCATGAAGGGACCCTTTGGCTTAGGGTAGTCACAGCTTGTGCGTCTTGGAGAAAGGGAAATTAAATGTACCGCAAATGGGATGCCACTGCTGAGAGTTTTCTAAATCAAAAAACAGGGGAAGGTTGGAAATCATTTTGTCTCCCAACACATCCCAGAATCTAGTCATGGGATGTTATTGTTGTTTTGAGACATGGTCTCTCTATGGAGCCTTTGGCTGGCCTAGAATTTGCTATGTAAACCAGGATGGCCTCGAACTCCTAGCAATCTGCCTGCCTCTGCCTTCTGAAAGCTGGGGTATTAAAAATAGTGTGTGCCACCGCACCCAGCTTTAGTCACAGGAAGAGGAAGCCAATGGGTTAACAATGCAGTAAATCCTGCAGACACCAGGAGTGACGACAGAAAGAATGATGGATACTTTTACATGCTAAGAAAGGAAGACATGACGCTATCCAGGCCGTGGTGACACATGCCTTGAATCCTACTACTTGGGAGATAGTACCTACAGGATCTCTAGGAGTTCCAGGCTAGCTGGCTACCTACACAGTGAGACCCTGTCATAAAACAAAACTAACCCCAGCCCCGAAAGCTATATCCAGGGGAATTAAAAGAATTTTATACAAATCTCTGTGTGTGTATATGTGTGATTGTGTGTACGTAGACATATATTCATACAAATACTTCAGTGCATGTGTGGTGACCCGAGGGTAACTTTGTGGGGTCACTCCTTTCTATCCTTTATGTGGGCTCCAGAGGTTAAGCTTAGATCACCAGGCTTACCCACCGAGCAATCTCACTGGCTCTTTTCATAATTCAACACACACACACACACACACACACACACACACACACACACACACACACGTTTAATCCCAGAGGAATGGCTTATGGGTTTTGAATACATGCAAACCTGAATGAGTACTTAAACTAAATGAAGGATTCAGAGCTACGAAACAGCCTGGCATGATGGCATATGCGTATAATCCCAGCTCTTGGGAAGCTCAGGCTTGCCTGAGGAGGATTGCCTCGAATTCAAGGCCAGGTTGGCTACATAGTAAAACACTGTCTTAAAAAAAATAATGAAACTACCAAACATCCATTCAATAGATAAAATTAAAAAAAAATACAGAGGAGGCAATAGTTGCACAAACTTTTGCAGCCCAAGGAACTGTTTCTGAATTCAGTTGTTTATAAAATGGGAGCCTGGGCAAGATGGTGCTGTGTAGCCCTTGTTGGTCTTCAATTTGGGGCAGTCCTCATGCCTCAGTCTCACTACTACTGGCCTGTGATTATAGGCCTGTGACACAACGTGTGGCACTATTTCTAGTTGAAAACATTCACATTCTGTGTAGACAGTATATTTCATGACTTCTGGGTCAGAAGATGTGGAGTCTGTAGGAAAAGGTCTTCTTGCCCTGTAGGCAGACTTTTTTGTCCTGCCAGCCAGTTCCCAAACGACCACACTGAGATTTATTATTAATTATAAATGCTCAGCCAATAGCTCAGGCTTGTTACTAGCCAACTGTTACATTTTAAATGAACCCATAATTCTTATCAATGCTCTGCCACATGGCTTGGTACCTTTCCTCAATACGGGAGGGAAGTTCATCTTCTTCTAAGGTCTCCTCTCCACTCTAGAGACCTCTTCTTTGATCTCTCCTTTTGTCTGCCAGTCCTGCCTAACCTCTACCTGTCCAGCTATAGACCAGACAGCTTTAGTAACCCAATCACAGTGATGTACATTCACACAGTGTAAAGGAATATTCCATACTGTTCTGTCTGATTCTTACATTACTCGGTTATTACTTCCTATTTCAGGAATAGTCTGGATTTTGGACAGTATTTGTTTTTTTAAAGCTATTTATTATTTACTTTTCTTTTTTAATAATTTTTTATTTTATATGCGCTGGTATTTTGCATGCATGTTTGTCTGATTTTGGGGTTACAAGCAGTTGCTAGCTGCCATGTGGGTGCTGGGAATTGAACCCGGGTCCTCTGGAAGAACAGTCAGTGTTCTTAACTGCTGAGCCATCTCTCCAGCCCCTGGACAGTATTTGTTAGTGTCTACACGCCTAGATAGTTTTTGCATCATCCTTTGTCTGTGTCACAGGTAGATTTTTGCTGTCTACCCATCAGACATACTTAGTTATTGTTAGCATCTGCTTTTTGCTTTAGAATCTGAAGAAGGACCGGGCATGGTGGGTCAGACCTTTAATCCCAGCACTCGGGAGGCAGAGACAGGCGGATCTCTGTGAGTTCAAGGCCAGCCTGATCTATAGAGCTAGTTCCAGGACAGCCAGGACCACAGAGAGAAACCCTGCCTCAAAAAACAACAAAATAAAGTCTGAAGATGACAGATTCAAATTTCTCAGCCTCCTGTGCAGCTGGAGTGACCATTGTGTCTATACTGGCTGCTGGAATCTTCTGGAGGCTTCTGTACCCAGGTTCTTAGGGAGACCTCTGGAAATCAAAAATCAAAATCCCACTGAGCTTGTGGCCTTCTAGGAGCCCATGGAGAAGGATGTTTCTCATCATCCCTTCTAGTGAAATTAGAAGCCAAGCCTACTGAGTATGTGGAGCACTGTTGTCAGTGGATTAAGGAATCCCTTCTTGGGCTGGAGAGATGGCTCAGAGGAAAAGAGCACTGCCTGCTCTTCTAGAGATCCTGAGTTCAATTTCCAGCACCCACATGGTGGCTCACAGCCATCTGTGATGAGATCTGGTGCCCTCTTCTGGCCTGCAGGCAAACATGCAGGCAGAACACTGTATACATGATAAATAAATCTTAAACAAACAAAAAAGGAATCCCTTCTTTGCAAGGCATTGATTGCGTCTGGGCTTACTTGTTCCAGAATGTGTATGTCTGGCCAAGGTAAGCCTGGAGAAAGGCGAGAAAGGCTTGGCTTATAAAAGCAGCATCTCAGTAGTAGGCCCCAAACCAACCCATACTTCAGAACAGGTTGGCTGTGTGTGGTGGTGTGGAAGACTGAGGCAGGAGCATCATTGAAACCCAGAACTTCCAGGCCAGTTTGAGCAACAATATTCCGTCATTAAAAAACAAACAAACAAACAAAACAGATGTCTGGCATGGTAGCACACGCCTTTAATCCCAGCAGAGTCAGGCGGATCTCTGGTGAGTGAGTTCTAGGGCAGTCATGGTTACACACAAAGCACAAAAGAAACAAAAAAGGTGTATTTGAACACTCTGCCCAGCAGGTGGCACTGAAGTACTGTGAAATGGCCCTCACTATCAAAAGATTGTTAAAAACCCTTTCATCTTTTCTTGCCTCAACCCCTGACTGGGTCATTATCTTCTAGTGTCTTCTGACCCTGTGTGGACAGCTTTTCAGGACATAAATAGAATCAATTTCACTAGACATTGTTTTGTTGAGACAGGGTCTCACTATGAAGCCGGAGGCTGGATTTGCAGGTAAGCACCTTCCCAGGGTTTTTTGTTTGTTTTAATATTTTTATTTCCTTGATCCAATCGATAGCCTCATCACTATCTTGTTTTGGTACTGAGCTGCCCTTGCAACTTCAATAGAACTCAGTACGATTTAGCTTCTTTCCCTACAACACGGTTTAAGTGTGCAAGTTGAATTCTGGCGTCCCCTCCCCCATTGTAGAAACCCAAACCCAAGGAGCTTAGTATGTCTGCCCCTTATCTCAGTTGCAGGATGAGACCATCCTGTCCTCTGTCTAGGAACATGAAAAAGTGCAGAAAGTCAGAAGATGTCTAGATGGTGACAGCAATGAGGAGGCTTCTGTCTGTCTGTCGTCTGTCCATCATCTCTTCCTGTCTATCATTAATTTATGTAGATTTATCTACTGTCTACCATATATTCTCTACCCTTCTCTAACCCACCTATCTATTCTAAGATATTTCTGCATTTCCAGGTCCTGGGAGCTAAAAGCAGGATCATCATTCTAGCCTAGGCTGGCCTTGAACTTGTAGCAATTCTCCTGCCTCACTCCCCATGTTCTGAGATGACAGGAATGAACCACTACACCCAGCAAGATCACCCAGTGATCTGTTAAGGTCTTTTTGTGACTTCGGGGAGCTGAACTAATTGCCAGAGGAACCAAGCAACCAAGTGCTATGACAGCTGCAACTCACAGCTCTTTGGGGGAAGGAGGAGGTAGATAAAGGATTAACAGTAGCATATGATTTAATCAATGTAGCCTTAGTTCCCCCCCAACCCCACAAAAAAGAAACCACAACAAAAAATACTTCAAGGCTTTAGAAAGACCAAGAAGACAGCACTGTGCTGAGAGAGTGAGGCACTTCAATTCTGTGGGGTTAGAAGTCTAATTCTCAGGGTCCTTGTGGACTTACGTTTGTGTCCTTTAACGTCTCCTAAATTCAACAGCAACAACAAGAAAAACCACTCGTTTCCCTAACAAATTAACAGAACTCAGGAGTCGAGGGTGCCAGACACACCACTTTAAAGTAAGAAACACAGGCAAAATAACCAGT